TTACTCTGACATTTTACGATTAGTCGCCTCCTTGTACGTCTTAATGTGCAACGTGAGGGAGGGTTAGGTTAGGTTAGAGGCAACTCGTGAAAGTAGAACCCTGCGGGCGAAAATATTTGTCTGTTTGACTCTATCCTACACCGTTTGGGCGCTAGAGTGCTTTCTTCGACGCAAATACGGCGAAAATTAATGACCACATTGCACTGTAAGACGTACTAGGGGGCGTCCAATAGTAAAATGTCAAAGGAAGTACCCCCTCCCCCCCTCAAAAAAAAAAAAAAAAACAAACAACAAAACTGTTTGACAAACAATACAATCTAAAAACTGCGCTGGTTAATTTTTTTGAATTTTTCTTAAGCAAAGCAGAAGGGTGGGGTGTAGTCACGGTGCTGCCCCGCTACAGTCTTTTGTCACGAGAAAGGAGCAAATCCCTCAAATGCAAAAGGGCCGCAAATAATGTAAAGGTATGGTATGGATTTTCAGTTTTGTGTTAGTAAGACGCTTACAAGCCCCGTCCATTTTTAAACGCGATTACTACAAGGCGGAACTACAGACCGAGCCAACAATCAAAACTGCAGCTGGCGCTCAAGTGGCCGCGTTCAAAACGTCGTCTGCGTTGTATCTTTTTACACGGCGGCGCGACAGTATTATTTAAACGCGACCGCTATATCGACGCCAGTCCAAAGAAGATTGTGGATGGGGTTGTACAAAGCAACAAGTGACCTTATCATTGGTCGAACTTTCCCGCCTAAATTTATGATTGGCTAAAATTTTCCTGGCTCGACTCAGCCTGCTGCTCAGCTCGTCATTTCCATGGAACCGGCACGATGCAAACTCAAATTTCTCTAAAGTTAATCAGACGATATAATATCGAATGTATCTCAAAAAAATTCTTCGAAATTTTTCGAAGTAATTTTGACTGAAATTTTGGTAAATACTCTTGGGCACGATTGGTTCTGCCATAAGGGGCCATCGTCAAGAATAATAATAAGAATCCTTCGGGCGAAAGCAGTAGGCACCCCTAGGGGCTGAAAAAGCACCGGATGAAGTCTTACCTGACTGCCTCCAAAGCACGCAACCCAAATGTTTCCGTCTGAGTCAATAGTCATACCATCAGGGTTGCCGGTAACATTATGAGCTGCAAAATCAAAAGCAGTTCTGCGGGTCCCTAAAAGAGCATGCAAAATATGTATTTCCTTAATTTTAGCGTTTTGTAAATGTTTGTGGAGTGTTGTTATTCTAGATTTTAACCATACCAAGAGTGCCTTGAGCAAGATTGAAGTCGAACACATCAACGCGGCGCGTCGGAGTGTCAATGTAGTACATTAGCGTCTCCTCGTGATTCCAGACTAGGCCGTTGGAGATGCTCACTGGTGACAGGACAGTCTTGACCTCAACGGCATGTTCCTGTCGCGGAAGCGAGCTAACGTGTCGCGAGGGACTTTGTAGCGTAATACGGTACAGAGAGCCCTGGTCAGGAGTCACCTGTCCCACCACTGGTTCTGGGCCCATGGTGCCTGCAATATGTCAGTAAAATATTCATTCCCTAGTATCACAAAACTGTCGTGCGACTGTCGGACATCAGTAAAAAAACAGATACGGACTATCGGTGCGAGAAAAATGAGAAAAATGACTCCATCGCTATACTACCTTACTTCCTCAGGACTAAAATCTACATCGGCTAGCTTGTTATGGAAGTAAAAAATCACTGTTGTGGATTCGAACAGGAATTGATAAAAATACAACAGAATGGTGGATAGTTTAAATTTGATAGACCAGCGACAACCGTCTGACTGTCTGTCACAAAAATAGTCAGTACCCAATCAGTCCCTATTCAGTCCCCACGAGCGTACTGTTAGCGTACAAGTCCGAGCGCATGAGGACGGTCTGAAACACGCCTAAAAGCGACGAAAAAGCGTACTCCGTGTCTCCTAGTCCTGTCTCTTCAGGCTCGGTTTTAAGCCCGCCTGACAGACGGGGCGATTTGCTGTGGGTCGCCTACTATCAGGGGGTATTTGTAGGACAAAATGAGGCCTAAGCGACGGGGCTGATTGAAGCTCCAGCGGCTAGGGTGGCAGCACGCTCTGACAGATCCCTGCAGTGAACGAACTAAGCAGTAGTAGAGTGAGAGCGTGACAGTCTTTTGAGCGGGGAGCGAGTCAGCCGACACTGATCGTTATCACAGTTGTGGAAAATGACGCGAATACAACCGAAACACGCCTCAGTATTTTACGCGGGTAGTCTCACAGCGAACGTACCTAATGGGTCTTGTTTGCTAACTGCATGAGACCGTTTGGGGAGACTGTTTGGGTACTGATTATTTTTGAAAGTGGTGGAAAAGCCATTCGATAACTTAGACTAAAAGGCACGCAGTTCATCCGCCCGTTTCGAAAGACACGCAGTTTACCGCTCTAGAGGTAGGAACTGCGCCTTTTAGTCTAAAGTATCGCAATACAATTGGATTTTCCCGGGGTGTCCAAAGGCACTGAAATTTAGCATCTTTAGGGCATTTTATTGTATTATCAGTGTCGTACATTCAAATTGTGCAAAAACACCCCCTTACCTAGACAAAATTCCAAACAGTACACTGTTTAAAAGATCGTTAACAATTCTTGTGAACTGTGAAACGAACCCATAGTTGGGGAAAATTTAGTCGCTTCAGGTGTTTCAGGAACTTTAAAGGCATTCTCTAAATTGTTGACGTGTCTTTTTGCATGGTGTCTTTTTGCATAATGGACCTCTAATTTTATAACTGCATCTTTCTTTGCATCTATCTTTTTTCGACTACAATGAAGTGTTGTGATTTCACAGTTACTTCGTTTCGTGAAAGTGTTGGGAAATAAAAAAATATTTTTAAGAGTGTACGAAGCTTTGGGGGTCGTTTTATGCATTACTCAGGAGTGCCGGGCCAAAATTTCCACAAAATACCATCGTGGCGATCGGCTCAAATCATGTTCAAAATCCAGAATGTCGACTTTTGGACAAATCGGTATATCTTCGCTTGTGTTTGAGATACAGCAAGCGGTTTGTGCCATTCAATGCAGAATGATCTCTTCTTGAAGAAATGTTAAAGGGTACATAGTGTTTGGAGTGAAATCTTAGCCTCTTAAAGACAAATACTATTTTCTTTATGTAGGCATCGAAAACGGGCAAGTAAATATGCTTTTGAGATCCGCTTGTTATTTTCCGTGTAGATAGCTATGTATGACATAGAAATTCTTTCAGTTTGAGCCGATCGGAACGACGGGAATTCGTGGGAATTTTGGCCAAGCGCTCCTTAGTTAAGCCTAAAACGACCCCCAAAATTGGTACTGTTCAGAATTTTGAGGTAACATAGCAAGTTCACACTTTGTTGTGTTTATTTAGTACACCGTTAGGCTTGCAGTGTTACCTGCAATCTTATTGACATAAATTGAGGTGTAGTAACAGCTGCATTTTATACAAGCAAAATACAGCAAACAGACCGCAAATTAAACTGCTTTTAATTACTGCCGAACAGAGTTGCCAACAAAGTGAAGTTGAGCTGGAAACTGATTGGTTGAAAGGTGGACCTGATTCTGAAATGCGACTGAAAGGCCAACGTGGTCATTTCCGCAGTATTTTGTTTTCATCAGAAGAAAAAGTCTAGCACCCAAACGGTGAAATAGGAAATTTGACAAAATTTTGGACGTGCTGGTGCTCCTAAAAATATCACGACTCAAGCTTAGTGTGCTCTTGAGCTATTTCGTAGCTCGTATCGTAGTTATTGGCAAACACAAAGATGAACGCGAAACTTTCTTGGCCACTGGTTACCTTTACAATCGTTACACGAAGAGAGATTATTGTTTGTCATGTTTGTGAGGGTTTTGCCCAACCGTTAAATGAAAACAAAGAAATTCAAAATCTATACATGCTTTACCTTAACTACATACCTATCCAAATCCGCCCTACGCTGTCAATGTTTCCATCATTGAAACGGTTACCCGGCTTGTCGTCTTCGACGGTTGTGAGTACAACGGGCGGCGTGATCTGAGGAATTATGGAGCTGAAGTTGTAGGCAGCCCAGTCCATGAGCCGTAACTGCCGCCCGACTCCAACAGCCAAATTTCCCCCAGGAAGCACGAGCACTGGGCTCACAGGGCCGTCTACGGGGACAGATAAAGCACATATGTTAGCCATAAACTCGCCTACGCGGCTCTCGCTTTACACCTTAAGGTCACCTATAGTTTTATGCTGCGTCGAAATTGAACTACAAACAATTTTCTGTGGTAATGGCGTATAGAATTTTGAAGCGAGTTGAGGTAAAGAATACTTCACCGACGTCTGCTCACAGACCTTGTTTACCTCGCCATGAAATCAGAGATGAGAAACGATCCCGACCCGGGCCCTGTTTCCGGGCTTTTCAACATCCGGGCCTGTCCCGATCCCGGGCCTCACACCCAGAAAAATCGTTTCTTGAATCAAGTGTAAAAAAAATCGTAAAAATTTCCTCTTGTATTTCCTTTTGTTAAAATTTTGCCACGTGCACTTAAAACAAGAGCATTTCGACGCGTCCGTGCAACAATTTCCTATCAGTTTTGCTGTCCTGAAAGACTATCCTATATGTTTCGCTAACCCAAAAGACTAGCCTAACTTGCATAGGGAGTTGTAGCACGGACGCGTCGATTTTTGAAGTGATGCTCCCGTCAAGAGCAATTGGTCCTCTTGCCTGCGCTGATCTCGGGTCACGTTCAGTACCGAGGGGAAATCACTTGGGTTCGTTGCGTACGGGCTATTTCGTGGTATTTCTCCTGCCATTTTGGTTATTTCTCCTGCCATTTCGGCTTTTATTTGCCTATTTCGGATTATTCCAGGGTATTTCGCGGTATTTCAGAGTATTTCAGTGGTATTTCGCGACTATTTAACTGACTATTTCGCGTCTATTTCGGGTCCATTTCACTCTATTTCGCCTTTATTTCGTACTATTTCGATGGAAGGTTTACGAATTATTTCACAAGTGATTTCCCCCTCGTTTGGGACTTCTCGGTTACTCGGGTTGTGGTCGGGACTACTCGAATAATTCACTCGCGTTGCATTCCGGACTCCGAACTACTCGGTCACATTCGGGTTCTGGCCGGGTATGCTCGGGTTATAGTTTAAACACGGAAAAAAAAACGTAAGTTCCACAAGCTAATGATTAGCTGTGATAGCTTATATGTTGGCTGCCCAGGCACTAATTAACCTTTTCAGCTCTGACAGCTAAA